TGGAGAATTGTTTTCCATCCTTTCACTTTCAGTCTATGGGCTTCTTTTTGCACTAGTTGTGTTTTTTGTGTACAACATATTGTTGGATTTTGCTTCTTATTCCATTTTGCCAGTCTGTTTCTCTTGATTGGTAAGTTGAGGCCATTGACATTGCTGGTTATAACTGATATGTACTGACTTATTATTGACATGTCATTGGCCTTTTGTTGACTCTTTTTACTTTTTCACCTTCTCCTTTTAATTTCTTGCCTTGCCTATTTGATTTGCTCTGTTGGACCTCATGGTGTTGCCTTCATTGTCTTGTTCTAGGATCTTATTTAGAATTGCTTATACTGCTGGTTTGGTATTCATGTAGTTTCTCAGGTGTTCTTTGTCGTAGAAGTGTCTTATTTCCCCATCCATTTTGAAAGAGAGTTTTGCAGGACACATCAGTCTAGGTTGGAGGTTGTTCTCTTTTAGTGCTTGAAATATCTCAGTCCAGGCTCTCCTTGTCCCAAGGGTTTGTGTTGAAAAGTCTGCTGTGATTCTGATGGGCTTTTCTTTGCATGTGATTTGTTTCTTTTTTCTTACTGCTTGTAATATTTTGTTCTTCTGTTGGGTTTCTGGGATCTTGATTATTATATGTATAGGTGTAGATTTTTTTTATTTAAGACTAGTTGGGGTCCTATATGCCTCAGTTATCTGAATGTCAAATTCTTCCCCTCTGTTTGGGAAGTTTTCTGTTATTAATTCTGCAAACAGCTTTTTTAAGTCATTTGTATTTTCTCCTGTTACTTTGTGGATTCCTATCAGTCTTATGTTATTCTTCTTTGCATCATCTAGGAGTTGTTGGATGGATTTCTCATGATCCCTTACTGTTTTTAAGAGATCTCTCTTTTCATGGTCACTGACTGCAATCTTATCTTGTATATCTGAGAGTCTGTCTTCACAGTCTTTTATTCTGTTGCGTACACTTTCAATGGAGTGTTTAATCTCCTGGATATCTGTTTGAATCTGTTTTATGGATTCCATTTCTTTCCTATGTTGAGTGTTTATTTTTTTTTCCATTTCTTTCTTATGCTGGGCCTTCATGGCTTCTATCATGGTCCTGAGCTCATCTATTTTTTTGTCAGTTTCTGCTCTAGAGTCTCGAATCACGACTTCCATTTTGCTCACTATCTCTGTGGTTATCTGGGAAATTATTTCTGTTTTGAATTTTACTAGAGCCTGATTGATCTGTTTTGTTAGTTCCTGTGCTTTGAGTTCAGGGTGTTCTGCTGGTTCACTATCGGCCTTTTCATCCTCTTTTGCCCTACTGTTTGCCATTGGTGAACTGGAAGTCTGTCTTTGTGTCTTGCTCAAGTGTTTTCTCATTTTTATTTTTGTTGTCGGGCTGTCCTTGGTTTAATCTCTGGATTATCACCGAAATCTTCCTGATATAGTTGCACCCTAGCTTCTGGGTCTCTAACGACCCACAGGCATTCTCATTTTCATAACATCAGAGAAAACAGCTCATCAAATCAACCACAAGCCTTTATCCCAACTGATACAATCAGCAACACATTAAGATCAAGCACAACTTGGAAACTGACCACCTGTGGTAGTCACTAGTCTATCACCCTTAAATCATTTGAATTAAATTGAAATCAAGTAGTCCAGAACATGTCTGCAGTGAACAAACTTTTCAATATAGTATATTTACCATTTAATGGCTCAGACAGAGCTAGGATGCAAGACCCCTGATCTCAGGTAGCTGTTGGCTGAACCCCATGACGCAGACTGACCTCAGGCTGCAAGGCCCAGATTGAGTTTCCCCAACCTTCTGAACGGTTGAACTACACACTGTTCTACTACAGGTTTCCCATGCCCTTTCTTTAAAGATTTTCAAAGTTGGGAACTTGGAAAAATACCCTGTATGACCACCTCTGCCTCTGCAGAGTAGGTCCAAAGACTGGCACAATCAGGAGGTCTGAGAGTGTGCGGGGGGAGGTAAGGGGAGTTATGGGGGTTCAGAGGCGCCCACACGGCTACCTTTCTGGTGCCGGAGCGATGGCTACCTTCCTGGCGCTGGAGCGATGGTGGTTGGGGTGGGATAAGGCGTGGCTCTCCTTCCCGCTGTGGATGGGGGCCCAAGGCTACCTTCCAGGTGCTGGAGCAATGGCCTATCATTGCTTTTTTTAAAAAAAAAAATTCATTCAAATATTTATTGAGCAGCTAAGAAATGCAAAGGTAATTAAAACAAGAGATGAGGCATATACACAACAGGAAGCATTCTGTAAGGTTCACTGAATCACAGCAGTCAAAATAAAGCACCCAGCTAAAATACTGATACAGCAGACCAAATGCACTGAGACACTGCTCAGCAAAATAAACCTTCCAGAGACAGTCTGTGAAATGTATAAAACCGAAAACCTTGCTTTCACCCCAAATCACAAAGTAAACGTCAGCTATCCTGGATACAAGATAGCATGCCTGTAATCAAGATATTCTTCAAGGCTGGGAGAAGGCAGAGGTTAAAATTAAGTATGAGACAAGAGAACATTTAAGGAGGCAAGAAGGACGCCATGGAACAAGGGCAGTGCAACTGTAGCCTGAAGAACCTGCGCCCAGTCACGCCAGTCACGAACTGTCACTGACTCAACCAGGAAGGTGCAGAGACAGAGCAGGGCTCAGAAGGGGCATGAAGCTGTCTGGTGAAGGGAGTGTGTATCTCTACAGCCCTCCAGCTCATGTGACACATTATTAACTATCACTGGACAGTGCTCATCCCTTAGAAAGCCATCTTTCCATCAGTGACAGTTACTCTCCTGATTCTCATGTTTAG